AATATGCGTGTTAAACAAGTGGAACCACAAACAGAAACAACTGCATTGTTAAACTGTCCTGTGTCTTTGTGTCTCTTACGGACTGTAATTGTTGGTCTCACTGATGTGGCCCGACAGTGGGGTACAAACTGGGAAATGACACCACAAAGCCATCGCTGCAGTAATGTTGTAAATTGTCAAAAAATAAGAATGAAAAGTTATTTTTTTTCACTTGTGTGTAATATCAAACATCTGAGGAACTTTGTCTGTACACTATCAACCCACTCTATCTTCCATCTGGTTCCAGTCGGCTTGAGAAGAGATTGCAGATGGAAAGTTGTTCTGGTCCAACATATGGTTTGCACCTAGCCATCTCCACCCGCATTTTTTTTAAACAAATCTAACCACAAGCTGTGGTCTGCTCCACACCCAGAACCAGACCGATGACCCAGTCTATGCATACTACAGGGAATAGCAGCACACATGCTACAGTGTGCGTGGGCCTCCGTCTGGTTAAAAGCTGCCTAATGGGCTCCAGATCAGGGCTTGCCAGCCACTAAGGCCCACGATTATGTTTCATTGGATGCAGATGCCTGGTTATGGATCCGGCATAATACTGGCGGTGACATCATGAGCTCAACCTGCTGGGAAGCAGGGAAGTATCTCTGTGACATAGCTGGTGCTGTGCTTTTGATCTGGTTTGACTTTAGGGCTCTGCAAAGTGACATAAGTGTTGCAGAACGTACTGAAAATCACTCTCAGTGACAATGATTCTATAGTAGAGGGAAGAAAATGTAAAAACATGAATGTCAGGTCAGTTAGTGAGCACATTTTTTTGTTTGTTTTCATATTTTTTTTAACAGAAATTAAACCTCTTCATGTTCATATCATAGCTGGTTGGCTTGGTTCAAGGCCTAAAAATGTTATCAAGAAATCTTAAAGGCGCAAAGTGAAAAGGAAATTCACTTCCAAAACCAGAGCCCTTAAAAACGTGTGCAGTCAATCTTGAGTTCTAATGAAGTTTGTTGGAAAATAGTTGTTGGTTCCCTCGCTCTATGAACTCAGTCAACATTTTCTTGGTGATTAATGCCATACACTCATCAATTTCACTTTGACTGAATAAAACCTGAAGATCATTTTGTAAACTACTGTCACCAGTCAATACGCCTGCAGTGTTATTGGTCTCACAGTGAAATCTCCCTCTTCACAATCTGTGTCAGCACAAAAATGGTGAAAAAGCTCAACCTGAAGCTTGATTACAAGACTTTTCCATCCATTGTTTGGCATCAACATGGCTACATTCATCTTTTATAGTCTCCATGGTATAAAGACATTCATGTACTCAAAATAGCAATTGAGCAGGTGTAAGGATGGACTACATGAAATCTAAAAAAAAAAAAGTTTCCATTTTCAGTATATAGAAACACGGTGTGCATTCATTGAACCGAAAGTAAAAGAAACATTCAACAAATTTCTAGTGACATATTTTCTGCCCATCAGCTACCAGAGAAATCATCACATCTGCAGTCAGTTCATTGCAATTTCATGGTGAGGTCATTCTGCCAATATCTTCCGCTGTATTTCAAAGCGCAGCATGGAAAGATATCCTTACGCTATATCCTTAGAGTGCTCTCAGAGCAAAAAGTTTTTGAAGTTGTTAAATCTGAACCACATTTAGGATTTATCTGTAGTATATATGATTGAAAACTTAAAAAAAAAAAAGCTTACAACTTTGCTCCACTGACACAGAAGGTCAAGATGGTTAGTCAGCAAATTCAACTTCTGAGGAAAGTGGATGAGTGATGGTGAGATGTATGGAGACACTCAGACACATGGGCATCTCAAAACGTTTCCCAGCAGCTGTTCTGCATACTATGTTCCAGTGATACCTATCTCACAGGGTCAGAGGTTACACTAGCTATTCAAGACATGTTGGAGTATCACAGCTGGATATGGATGACTGAAAGTCATAACTGAATGGATTGGGAATGACAGAAATGCTTACATTAAAGCAGTCATAGAGCTGTGAGTAGGATGCAGGGAAGTGCATCAAGGAGACAAATCGTTCCACGCTAAATTTGGAACAAATGGGCCCAACCCAAACCATGAAAAGCAGCTTTGGCTCAAAAGCATACAAAAGTAAAGTTGTCCAAAGTATGGTGCATAAAATGCACCCAGTCCTGTCCGTCCTAATGAAATCTTGTTGCTTTATCATACCAAACACCCAACTGTAGAATTTAGATCTCCTGCTAATATCTTAGTAGATATTTTCCTTTATTTTCTAAACTCAGTGAAAATTCTTATCCTACACATGTGGCGGCTTCATAAGCACTGATTACAGTTTTTTTCCTTCTCCACCAGTCTGACAGGTGCAGACTCAGCACTTAAAGACAATGCCGTGCCTTCAAAGCCCAAACACAGTGCCAGTGACAATGAGAACAGATAAAACAAATGTCTAAAATGTGAAAAAGGAATGCTCCACTCATAGTACAGGTGATTTATGGCAGTCATAAGGGGTACAGATATAAAGATGAATGACTGCTGACCTCTTTCTTCTTTTCTTTCCCTCAAACTGCAACTAATAAAGCAAACCAACGTCTTTGAGCAAGAAGCCAGGATTGAAACGGAACACTGGGAATAAGCTGGTTAATGTTTCTTCAAACATTTTTTAAATCAGTCCTTTTGAAAGGTTTAGTTGGTTATTTTACTCAGGTAGGGTCCCTGAGTAAAATAAAAAAGCGTCCCTTTTACACAGTTAGTGTCAGTGTCAGACAGAATTTCTTTGGAATAAAATTCATGGCATGTAACTAATTCTTGCATAACAAAGGTTCATAACTAATAAACCAATAAGTGAAGGTGCAGATGGTCAGTTTTGGGTATCATGCATGTCTTTTTGATGTTTTTGCAGAGATCTAATGGCAAATTTAGCAAAGCTGAATAAAACCACTTAATGACACCACTTTGTTTTTGTTAACTGCAAATTGGTTTGGCTCAAACTTTCTGTTCTATTCTTGTGGTACGTCCTGTCTCATTGTCAAGTCTTGAGTCATTGTATCAGCAGAGTTCAGAAATTCCCAAATGATCTCAGTTACATGTGGAGCCTGGCAAGCTTTAAGTAAAGAAACCCAAAAATAACAGAGGAAATACAGTATACTGACGCCTGCCATGGACAAAGCTTTTACACTACATCTACAGTAATTCTATGAAAATACTCCATGAAAACATTAAACAGTTCTCAGATGTTTCTGTGTGGGTCTCCTGTGTGGCTCTAATACAGATGAACGCAATGAAAAAATTTAATAAAACTCAAATGGGAGAGTAAACACAGTGTGATGGAGAGGTACTCCAGTCATGACATAATCATGTGACTGGAGGAAGTCCAAGCTAAGATTCATTTCCACAGCTCTGGGGTGGATTAAAGGGCTCAAAAACACAATGTAAGCACGTACAACACTGTCACTGCATCAACAAAGAAGCTCCAGACAAGTGAAAGCTCTGATGAGACAAAAGGGCTGGCTCTGGAAAGTGATGCTTTGATTAACTAAGAGTGTTTGGCACCTTAAACACATTCCATGTGATTTAATAAACTGTGGTGACTTCTGGTTTCAGTTTCCACATGTATTCAATACAAACTAAAGGCATTTTTTTGTGAATGATGTCTCCGGCAACTCTTCTTTTCATCTATATTATCTAAAAATTTCTGATTCTGCTTTGTCTAATTCAGAGACAAAAGCATTTTTGTCTTAGATTTTGTCTTGTCTTAGATAAATTGATAATAAGTCTAATTAAAGATGAGCACAGCAATGGCACTCTGGCAGCAAGAATCTATATTTAAAAGGCCTTTTTTCTGGTTGCAAAATCAGTGAAACTTTTAAAATTAGGAATACGAGAGACTTCGTATTTGTGGTTTAAGGGCTTCCAATTTGTTGATGTGAAATAGTTATCAGCAGGTTTTAATTTAAATAACAAATGTGCTCTAAAAAGCTTTTTAATTAGTATTTTCTTCTTGTGAAGCTGTCAGAATCTTTAAAATGTGCCATAAAAATAAGTGGTCTGTGCTCAAAAATAAATAAAGAAATATAGTCACAGCCTGATTAGTTCATTGTGGTCTGACTATTCACAGCATGCAAAAACAAAATTATTCCCTCAGTCTACAAACACTTTAAGTTTGTTCTCACGCCAAAAAGCGATTAGAGGAAAAGCATCAGAGCTGGAGCGACTGCAGTTGTTGAGTGTCGGAGGAGCTGCTGATGAGAAGTGAAATATTTTTATCTGGATCCAAATTGCTCTGAAAAAAATGATGTCATGCTGTCTAACTGACTAATAGTTCATTGTGCTGTTGTCCTGCTGGGTTATAAGCGCCTTTAAGGGGGATGCATCAGCAAATGTGGCATAAAAAAGGAAAATAACACTTTTGCAGTAAAGGGTGAAGAATACAGAAAGGCACATTTCCTGGATTTCCAAGAAAACTACAATGATTTTATATTTTATGGCACATAATAGATGACTTTGTTTAATATGGCAGAACTGAGGAGAGAAATGCATTTTATGGGACTTAAAGTGTTGAAAACTGTGCTAATTTTATTCTAAATGTCACCGATGCCATGTTGCAGGCAGATTGGGACTTTAAAGCAAAGCTGGGTGGGGGGGTGCAAATGTGAAGAATGCGGCTATAAAACTTTTTTAGGTAACCCAATTGGTCTCAGACGTGGAGCGCTGAGCCAGTGCAGGTGTGCTGAGGAAGACGGTGGAAACTATGAAGTGAAGCCAAAGAAAGAGTTTCTGATAGGCTAAATTCAAAGTTTTGATGTTAATCATCTTAAAAAAAAAAAAAAATGAGGTGTGGATCATGAACATTTTTTGTCTTAATAATTGTGACATGCCAGAAATGACTGAGAACCACAGACTTAACGCATCTCCTTGTAAAAGTTTCCACTGCTGCAAGAGTAACCCTGATCTTATCAGTGAGGTTATATTTATTTCAAAAGCAGAGGCTCCACAGGTGTTTGCACCAATCTTACCTGTTTGCAGCATCCCGGAACCGGATTCTCCCCCGAAGTCGACCGATGCGTCGTCAGGTGAGGCGTTGCTCGTCGTGAGGAGCCCGAGAACGCAAACTGTCCATTTTAACAACCAGAGCAACATCTTCCCGGTGTGGCCGCCTTTATGCTTCAGAAATGAAACATATGCAAACTAGAAAAGTACTGAAAGTCTGAACTGATCCAGTTAAAGAGCAGTCAAAGTGGGGAACATTGCTGAATCGCACTTCTTCTATAATTCTGCAGTTTTAATAGGAGCGAAGTGCAAAGTAACTAACTCTTCATCCTCTTCACCTCTCCTCATCCTCCTCAGCCAGCAGCAGCTTCTCTCCTCCTGCAGCTGTATCACATCACTGCAGAGCCAAACGAGCAAAGAGAAGCCCCGCCCCTCTCCTGTTGACCAATTAAATCCCTGCAGGGCCTCCGCCCATTTTTGTTTTCGAGCCTGTCTTCAACTTACTTTTAATTTGTTTGTTTTGAAAAATTGACTCGTTTCCCTCTCTCCACCTCCCAAGAGATGGTTAGAACTTTTGTAATTCCACCTAAACATACAACATTGTGAGGTGCAAACACAGGCTACAGTACCAAGCTCACAATCCAGGAACCAAAAACAGGAAGCAGTACAGGCAAAGGTAAAAGGGTAAAGGTAGGAAGAACGCCTATCTAAGTAGGAGATTGGCTGGACATGGGTCAGGGAGATTAAACACTCGTCAAATGTGCAGATTCCAAAGCTACTTGAGACCAATATGGGTTTCTTAAAAACTATGAAATTTTAATAAAATATATCCTCCAGCATGGCAAGTGCACAGTGTAGCAGTGTTTTTTATATCAAGTAATTGAAACGTTTGAATTAGAGGTGGGGATGGAGGAATCAAAAACACACTTGATTTCTGATAAGTAGACAGGAGGTCAAGTCTCAGATGACACCTGACCTCTGGTCCACTTGTTTTGCTTTAAATTTTGCTTACTGTCTTTTCATCTACTGCTTCCATGTCTCTCACCATCATAACTACTTGTTTTGGTTTAGAACAAGTCTTTCACAACATAACACCTACATTAATCTTCTAGGTCCTTTTTTTCTGTACCTCATCAAAGACTATATAAAAGAGAGATGTAATGCCTCACACCTGTATCCTTTTTTTTATAGTCAGCATGAAGCAACTCATGTGCTTATAAAAAGACTTCTGGTTATATGGAAGACTTTGGGTGAATGGAATTTGGCTTTCTTGCTCGTTACCTTCATGATGACTTTATCATCATACTGAATACATGATGTTTATTTATAAATGATGGTTCCTTGTACAGAAAGACATATATAACATGTTATGCATGTAACAGCTTGTCAATCACCCAATATGCTTGTGATGTCTGGTTCAAACAACGGCTGATTACATCCGTACTCATGTGGTTGGCATCCTAATCTCCAAATATCAGGTAGCACAGCACCAGTTTTAGTGTGTTTAAAACTTGAGAAGCCAGGATTTGTTAAAATTCCTATTTAATTAATGTCTACTGAATGCTTACCTTCCTTTTCCTTGTAGAAACCACCGAAGGCCTCAAGCTAACAAAAAAATGTTAGCTCTAATAAAATGGTAAATAATACCAAACTCAATCAAGAGACATTTCAAGGAAATCTTCAGACACTGACATTTCATAATCATACCTCTTTATTCAATGACTTATATTCATACAAAAACTATAGGTAGAGTCCAAATGACTGCAGGAGAGACAGTCAAGTAACAGATCAGGCAGCGAAGGATCAGCCACTCCAGAACCTCTAATCTGCTTCCACTTTGGTTCTGTGAGAAAATGTTATTCAAGCTTGTTTTCTTTTTTTTATTTACCTGAAACCGATACATCGTTTGTTTAGATAATCAGAAAATACAACCAAGGAACGAATTGTACAAATCATGGACATAATGAAGCCAAACAATACTTCTATTATTATTATCTTTGTTTCTTTTTTTTTCTTTTCTTTTTTTTAGCACATGCACATTTTCTTTTGAGAACATGCAAAGAGGACATGTCCAGAGGGGGGTGGGAGGGGAGCTTTAGAAAACTGGAAGAGGAAAACTTGGCACCCTGGTTACGTAGGGCTCACTGGAGGTTTGAAAATAAGGTCTTTGACATAAACACAAATCTCTGCCCCAATATAGCAACTTGCAATGAGACAACAAGCAATCTATTGTTGCCCCGATGAAGAACAGAGTCACACCTTTATGGTCTAAAATCCCGTGAGATCCATGAAGTAGATTGCACAATTAAGAGAAAAAAAAATTAAAACTGTATCTGGATAAAATCAGACCGGGTTAGAATATTTGCAAATAATTTGCATGTTTATAAACTTGCCAGAACAAAATAGGCACAGAGGTTTTGTACTATAATAAAAGCAGGAGGTTTTTGAGATATCAGATAACAAGGACTATAATCATCACCTCCATGGTTGATATAAGAAACAAATTCTTGCCTATTTTCAAAGTTTTACAACCTAATGTATAGCAGTGTACCTTTAAGTAGCAGGCTGTCATTAAAGAGAACTCTTTCAGCCATGTACTTTAAAGGATAGGGCTGGCCATGTTCTGCAGTATTCCTATTTGGAAGCCAATAAAAGAACTAAACAAAGAGTGGATTTAAATATTCTCTGTGTATTCAAAACTGCTGACCAGAAACGATTTAAAATTCATTAGTGAACCACACGCTTGAACTGGGTGACACTTTCCTTCCTTTCCTAAACAACAGTTCAAGTCCCACAAACACTATCTTACTATCCAATAATTTTAATACTCAAATTTGTGACAAAATAACAGTTTTAGGTGACTTTTCTTAGATTCTGTAGGTAAGGACCAATATTTTTGATACTGTAAGTTAACTGGATTATATAGTATGGTTTATATATTACATATTCCTTTATTGACCTCTCATGTTTAAATGCGCTTAAGATGCATGTAGCTAAATCAAAATAAAGCACTGGCCCTACATCTTAAGTTAGATTTAAAACTTTGCTAAATGTGACTCAGAATAAAATATAGGATTCATTTAACAAGAACAAAATTTAGGAAAAAGAAAAATAATTAATGTGTTTTTTTGGATCAGTTTATGTGGTTTAGTTGAGGCTCTAATTGAACATTAAAAAACAACATTTTGTTGTTAGCATCACGATCAAACTAATACATGCAAGCTAGCCTGTTAGAAATGCTTGTACTGGACCTCATGTTGGTTTTCACTGCTGCAATTCATATCGAAATACAAAATACACCAGGCCTTGTGTACAGTTCACAATCCTATTGTCAGCAATATAGAGCTGGAAATGTTTGCCAACAAATTACTAGCACCAACCCAACTAGTTTTTAAGTTGAAAAACATTTCTAAAGTCTACAGTAACTAAGTTTAAAAAAATAATTGAAAAAAATACTCTACAAACACAAAATGTAATATATGAAATTTATAAAATTATATTTTGTTATCTATTCAGAAAGGTTGCGATTGCTAGTTGTATAAATGGGCTTCAGGCTAATAAAGCACAGAAAGAACTGAGTTTTGGTTTGAAATTTGTTGACTGTAAGGGAAATAGAGTATTGCAAGCCTTATTCTGTGAGGATTTATACCCTGCCCAGTTGGAAGAGGTAAAGATTCAGGGAGTTGGTACAGGTCTGGTTCAGGTCTCACTTTTGAGTGACATAAAACCACTTCATTAACAATCTGAAGAATCTGGCTCTCCCAGCAAGTTTAAAAACCACTACAATTATTTAAAAATACAACTTGACCCAAGTCTGGAAAGAGAAGAACACAGTTTTATATTTTGGGTGGTTCTATCTGAGTAGGCGTCGTGCAGTCAACTTGCAAACCTCAAAAATGCCCTGTGAATTCACTTATATCCGCTTGGATACCATTCGTGCCTTTAGTGTGTGTTGTCAGTTAACTGTACATCATATGATACATTTACAATTTACAGCTCTTCACACATGAATGTAAAATTTGGTCACAGTCACACTAAAGCCTGAATCTGGAGTTTCCAGAGGGTAAAGCTACAGGGCGGATGAAGTGTCGTCATGTTGCATAGCCCTACTTTAAGTCAACAGTCAGCAGCAACAACACAACTCTTTATTGTACCTATAAATACGCAGACAGGTACCCTCACGCAAAACTTTGTCTGAGGAAAGATTAGAAGATAGGAAACCCGTGAAATTTGGGCAAATATGGCCAAGAAGGGATTTGCTTGAGGAGGCAGATTTGTCTGGATGTGAGATTCATGTTCAGAAAATCATAAAAAAAAAATGGCACTTTTCCCCTCATTCAGAGAATGTTTTCTACCAAATGTCTGGCAGTATATCTGAAAGAGAAAGGCAAATGCTTACCACACACCCTCAGGCAAAAGTACAGACACTATTTTTGACAACCCTGGCATGCACTACACTTTGGATCTCTAATTTGAATCTTCCTACAAAAAGATTCATCACAAAAGAAATGTTTTGTTTTGTTTTTGATTTTTTGCTTTCAGCCCAGATTCAAACACAAGTTTTGTTCTGACCACGTTTTTTTTGTTTTTGCTTTTTTTTTTTTTAGCTACACCCAACCTCCACTGACCCAAAGTCAGGCTCCATTTTAATACATTGTGGTAAAAGAGGCACTTAGTAGTTAGCCACTTAATGTCAAAAACGAGTTGTTCTAGTCCCTATGTGCTCTCACAAAATTACATCTGGGAGATTTTACAAAAGTGGGATTCTAAAAACTCAACTCTGGTCTTATCTTAAGTCATTGTGTGACTTTTGTGTTTACTATGTGTTATGACAGAATTTTAAGACATACATTAAAAACAAAAAGCTTTCCTAATCTGCTCTGGTTAAGAAGTGCTGCAATATAATAAAGAAACAAACCAGGAGAAAGCAAGAGAGAGAAATTTGGTAACAAAATAAGACATACAGCAATAAAAAGTGTGGTGTGGGCAGTCATATCAATGTCGGGGATGAGCATCAGTCTAAAGCACAAACAACAGGGAGATTTTGGCTTTTGTCTTCTTCTCCACTGAATATACTGGCCAAGGCAAAATACTTGAGAGCCTCCACATGTGCGCTAATTCCAGTGCAAGTAAAGGGGTTAGAAAAAGTCAGTG